GAGAAGAGGACCCTCAATGAGCTGGACTAACACAGCTAACTGCAGTAACAGGCTTATTCTACATGGCAGCATTGACGATGGTGCTACACCCTGTGGCTTGTTTGTGCTGTACATGCGACTGCTTTCAGATTCAATGGCACCTACAAGAATGTCCACAAGAAAAGATCCTATAACAACTATGAGTATCATCTCACTCCAGTAAGAACAGAAAAACTTAAACAGAGCAGCAAACAACAAAATGCTAGTGAAGTTGTGGAGAAACTGGAACCCTTATTCACTGTTGGTGGGAGTGTAAAATGGTGCAACCACTATGGAAGGCTGTATGACGCTTTCTCAAAAAGTTGCAAATAGAAATACCATTTGACCCAGCAATTCCATCCATTACTGGGAATTTATCCTAAAGAGACCATAACTGATACCCAAGCAGATATATGCACACCCATGTTTATCCCGGCTTTGTTAACAATAGTAAAGATTTGGAAATAAAACAAGTGCCCATCAACAAACTAATGGAGAAGTTGTGGTATATTCACACAATGGAATACTATGCTGCTTTGAAAAACAAGGAATTCATGAAATATTATGCAAAATGGATGACCCTGGAGGACATTATGCTGAGTGAAATATCTCAGTCACAAAAGGACAAACACTGCATAGTGCCACTGTTGTAAAACGGGACTGACATCAGGGTTGGGGGGAGACTGAGAAACAGGGAATAGATAATGCTTACTTCATTAAAACAGGTGAGGGAGAGAACTGTTTAAAAGTGATACGATTAGGTATTATTATCATGACAAGAGTCCAGAATGAAGACTGCATAGTGGAGTGGACTTGGAGAGAGGGACTGTATAATAATTGAAGAGTTTTTCTTTTACTTTTCAAAGAGAAGAGGTGAACTGGGTGGGGAGGGAGAAAAGTGCAACAAGGAATGAATGGAAAAACCAACGTCCCTGAAAATGTTTATTAAAATTAATTAAAAAAAAAAAAAGATCATGACTGGCGTATTGGAGCAGCTTCACTTCTTGGTGGCTATGTGCAAGTTTTTCTGAAGCAAATCCTCAGGAACGGAAGCTGAAGTCATGGATTACAGGGATTTCCAACTTATCTGGTAGTGGACACTCCCCCTGGCAGTGCATGAAACGGTGGACAGACGTCCTCTCAGCGAGTTTTGCTAGTCTGCTCTGAAGTGGCGTCTGTGTCGTTTTCTTCTGCCTTTCCTCAGTGGCCAGTGGGGCAGAACACACCTTCTCCATGGCTTCCTCTTCTCATTTGCTTGTTCATATCCTCTGCTCAGCTGTAACTGGATAATTATCCTCAACCTTGTTCTTTATGTTGTAATGTCCTTGTTTCTCTTACCGCCTCATCTTTTATGGGTTTGGAGGTTCTTTTTGGCATTGTTTTTCATCTTTCACTTTGAAATATGCCACTGCCTTCATGACTTGTTGTCTTAAAATACTCCTTTTAGTTCCACTTTTTATTTTCCTTTGGAGCACGTTTTACAAAGTTGTGATCTGAGTGTAAGTTGACACAGCAAACTGGCTTCCTATCCAAACATGCGTATTTTGTCTTGAAAATTGTGGAAAGTATCATAAACATGCTTGTCATCTCTGCTGGGAGAGGCAATCCATTCCTTCCACTGACAACAGCACTATCACACACCTGTTGTTATGTGTCGTCGAGTTGCTTGAGACTCAAAAGTGACCGTCTGTACAACAGCTCTGAAGCATGTCCTGTCCTGAGCCGGTCTCACTGACTCGTCACATCTACCCTCATTGCTCTACATACTGTGTCAATCCATCTCATCCAGGGTCTTCCTCCTCTGTGTTGTCCTCCATCCTTCTGAGCCTGATGTCCTTCTCCAAGGACTGGTCCCTCCTGGCCACATTCCCAAAGTATATGAGACAGAGCTTCAAAATCCTAGCCTCCAAGGAGAACCTTGGTTTTACCCTCTTCAGAATAAACCTGTTTGTTCTCCTGGTGGTCCAAGGGATGTTCAACATTCTTCTCCAGCACAACTCAAAGGCATCAATTTTTCTGTCATCCATACCAACATATACCTAAACTTACTTGTTTAGCTTGCTTTTGAACAAAGATATTGTTCTGAAATTTTCCCATTATGTTAAGCATGCAGCTGTAGTTGATGCACTCTTTTATATTCTTGTGGTCTGGATTAAAGTATTCGTGACAAGTTTGACTCCCATTCTATGGGAGAATTTCCACAAGAATTGTCACCATACTTGCCATCTGGTTGTCCGTTTCCCATACTCTCTCACCTTCGCTTATTTCTCTTGGTTTTGGGTTCAGTGTTGACCTTTTAGGGCCATACAGATGGTCTTCCGGTCAGCACTGAGCTAACCTTCGTTTTGGGTTAAAAATGGTCTGTGAAGCGAGCTCTGGTGGCCTAGTGGCAAGAAGCTGCACTGCAAGCCCAGAGGTGCGTGGTTCAAATCCACCAGATGCTCTGCTGGAGATGGAGGGACAATCTCCTCCTGTACCAGTCAGATCCAATTTGACGGTACACACATAACAAATAAAAAAAAAAAAAAAAAAAACACCACACAAAATAAACAAAAAAAAATTGGTCTGTGAAAAAATGGTCTCAGGGGCGAGTGGGGGCTCAAGGTGTAAAGGGCACCTCTGGGGGTCTCAAGGAGCCCACTGGTCTCAGGGGATGTGGTGAGTCTGACCTTTTCAACATGTTTTCACTACTGTGTAGTTACACCACGTGACTGTACATCAGCCGTTCTCCCAGCTTGGCCTTGGGTGCCACCTATAGGCCCCCATGATGAGCTGCTATGCTGGGCGCCCCTGCCCACGCTTCCTGCTGGCTGTCTGGTCCAGGGAGCCTGCTGGGAGCAGAAGTGCTATCTCAGGCCACCCCCCACACACACACCCCCACCCCCGCCCCCGGGTCTTCTTGGACCCAACCCTGTTCTGAGCCCAGGCAGCTGTGACCTTTTCAGCCCCGAGTCGTGGTCCTCAGATCCCAGAGCACGTGTGATTTCAGGGCGGCTGCACAGTCCTGGGGGCATCTGAATCTCAGGGAATGTGCTGGCCTTTGCAGAGAGGAGAATTCCAAGGTCTTCCCACCCCCCAGCCCCAGACATTGGGGAGGAGTCTTCTCACAGCTGACTGACAGGTTTGGGGGCCGGTTCCATTTGAAAGAGCCCTGGTGGTGCAATGGTTAAGCACTTAGCTGGTCTTCACAGGTGGTTGCTGCTCCTGGGGAGAAGGCCGTGGCAGCCCCTCCGGTCAATGCCTGTCTGCTGAGAGGGTCTCCAGGGGTCTGACTTGATGACATTGGATGCCTCAGCTTTCAGCATGTCTTCGCAGACGGAATCTGCAGATGCTTTGCCCTGAAGAACGAGGCTGGTGGAAAGAGGGGCCCGAGAGCTCCGGGTGGGCTTCTCGTCTGAGCGCCCTTCTCCCATCCGCCTGACTCTCGTCACTTATTGTGAAGAATTTGTTGATCCCCACTGCCACCCACACCAGACACAATACTGTCTTCAGCATCAGAAGCAATGTTGTTCAGGGTAGCATCTGCCAAGGTTGGCACACAGCCTCGGAAGGGGAGGCCCCGGAGTCAATCAGCCCACATGTGCCTCTTCCTGATCCACAGGCATCCTTCCCTCATCCAGCCAGGAAGGTCGACTGGCTCCTAGGGAGCCAAGACATCAGGTGCTGTCCCGAGGAGTCTCATTCCTGGGGGAGCAGGCCGAGTGTGCATGCTCAGGTGGGAGGGGAGGCGGTCGACTGCTGTCCTCTCACAAGTGCAGAGGTAAGGACAGACCCTGGAGGGTGCCCAGCCTAGACCACCAGGACAGGCCCAGTTCTGGGAAGCGACCTCAAGGCCAGGCCCAGCTGATGCAGGCTGGTGGACACAAGAAGGGGCCCCAGGACACGCACACAGCTCAGAGGTGGGGAGACGGTGAAGGTGTGTAGGTCGAGGGAGCTCCTGTCTCCAGGAAACCCAGCCCCTTGTGGGCACCGGCTCCCAGCCCTGAGGGTAGAGCTATTGTGCCCAGCAGCCAGGGAGCTTTCAGGCCTCTTCTACAGAACTGGTGATGCCTCAGTCCAGTGAAAGAGGCTTCTCAGTCTCTGGTGCCACACATGACTTTATTTAAGCCCTGGGCACAGCCCAGACACAGCGCACAGGGGAAGCAGGGGGCCCTCAAAGCATCATCCACCTAGCTCAGTCCCCACCCTCAACTGCCACGAGGGACCCTCTAGGAGCTGCTACCCAAGCTGTAAGTCAGGCACCAGGGGCCCTGCCCCTTGTAGCCAGGCTTGTCCAGGTGCCCTCCGGCTCGACCCCAGACTGGCCATCTCTTCAGTGGTGGCAGGCTGCCAGGCCAGGTGTCAGTGCTGCCAGCCTGTGGCTCTAGTCTTGCACAGCCATTCCTGGGCTGGCCCCTCACTCCTCCTGGCCACACGATGTGGGCAGGGTCCTGCCCTCTGCTGACCAGCTCCTGCCCCACCTGGCAGTCTCCACTCACAGGTCAAGCTGTCCGTACAGCAGGGATGGACTGTGGGGATGGCAGTCTGGTCACTGTGACCCAGGTTTGGCAGCAAGAAGCAGATGTAGCCCCAAGTGAGGGCTCCAGCGTGGTAGGCAGTCCACAGCACAGGAGACACACAGACATTGACCCACTAGGAGGGGACAGCAAGGTGGCGGGGACAGGCGCCAGGGTCACGACACCCAGAGCACCCCAGGTGGCGGCGTGTTTAATGGGACAGCATAGCACTTGTCTTGTCCCTGGGGGCAGCTCCTGAGACAGGACCAGGCCAGCCCAGCAGACACATAAAAACCCTACTGACAGGAAGGACACAGCGCCCACGCCCCATACGGCACACACTCAGATGACATGGCACACCAGACAAAAGTCCCTCCCTGCCCCCGATCCGAATACTGTCTGAGGAGGCGGCTGGGCCACAGCTCCGCTGGCCACACCTTGTTCTTCCGCCGCTGCCCAGGCCAGGAGGGAGAGGCTGGCTTGCGTCTAGACCTTGTACAGCGTCTGCAGCAGGTTGTGGCGGGCAAAGGAGCAGGCTTCCAGGGCGCCATTGGGCCTGAGGGAGAGACGGGTCAGGGTGGGCTGCTGCTTCTGCGGCATGAGTCAGGCCGGACCCAAGCAGCTAATCCCATGATGACTCTGGGATGTCACTCCTCTGTTCCCCACACTGAGGGTGGGGTACACAGGAGGCCCAGAGAGGCTGGTACCCCATCCTGGGCCAAACAGCCCACAGGTCTGTCCAGACAGGAAGCTGGGGCTGCCTCCTTCCACCACACAGCCCCTGTCGGTGGCTTGGACAGGGACCCTCAGTGCCCACAGTGTCTTGCCTGAACCCCCATCCGCCTGAGATCCTAGCATCAAAGCAGAGGAAGACACTGTAGGGTGGGAAATGGACCCTAGTGGGGTGCAGCTAGGACCAGGACCGTGGGCTCCCTGACTGCAGGCCTGTGGACACCTCTGGTCCAAGCAGGCTTGGGGTCAGGGACTGAGGGTAGGGGACTGGCTCTGGGGTGTGAGGGTTGCCCACAAAAGCAGCAAGGATAGATGCTGAGGGGCTATGAGAACATGGAGGTGTTAAGAGTAGGGACAAGGTAAGCAGGAGACAAGCAGGGGTCACAGTCAGCGTCTGGGACTGTCCACTGACCTCCATCACCCTTAGTTCTTGCTCACCACTTCCCTGCAGACAAGGGCCCTACAGCCCCAAGGACCCTGACTAGGCATGTGACCTGGGCCTGGCTACACTGTGTGCAGCCCAGAGAAACTCAAATTGGAAGATTACAATGAAAAGATGAAGCTGGCAGGAAGCTGGTGGAGCATGCAGGGCCTCAGGAAGGACACCTGGACATCTCCTGACTCATCATGGGGGTTCCTGGGGTCTGGAGATGTTATGAAACTCAACTACAGCTTCCACTGCCCAGGACCCTCCAGGATAAGACCAAGCTCCTGTGTCTCAGCTCCATAAAGGGGGGTAGCTGCACGAGCCAGGTAGGGCTCAGGGGTCCTTGGAAAGAAACACTGAACTGCCCCCAGAAACCACACCAAGCACACAACCCGGTGTGACCTGGAAGGTGAAGAGTTACACATCTGTCCCCCACAAGACAAAACACTGTCCCTGAGCCCCTGCCCTCAGCTGGGCAAAGGGGAGACCTCCAGGATACTGAGCCCCAGGGGAATGGATGCCCAAGCCTGGGAGACTTCCCCTAAGTGGGTGCTGGCCGGGTGGGACTCGTGGACAGGGTCTGCTCAAGCAGGCCAGGCAAGTCCTGGAACATGGAGGCCTTGGCTAGTGACGCCAAGCTGGGGACACTCACTTGGTCACGAATGCCAGCAGCAGGGGAGCCAGGGCCTTGGGGAAGTAGTCCTGCTGCACCATGTGGTTCAGAGCCATCAGGGGGCCATACAGATTGGCAATGGCCTTGACCTTGTCTTCACTCTGCAAGAACACAGCAAAAAGGTTGTTTTTTTTTTTTATTTTGAAGGTAAAAAGATAGATTCTTGGAAAAAAATATGGAGGAGAGGCCAGCATTTAGGGTGAGCTTCAGGGGTACCCAGGAGTCGTGGGTCTCCAGCACCCAGACCACTGAGAATGCCCCTCAGCCGGGTTGATGCTGAGCCAGAGCCCCAAGGGAGGGCCCAGGGCTTGAGGTCAGGGGTGGGGTGGTGAGAGGAGGCTGAAGGCTCTTCCTCCTCCTCATCGGCCCCTCCTCCCCAGATTCCCCCCGCCTCTCCTGCTCCCTCTTCCAGCCTCACCTTGAGCAGACCCATGTGGATAAGGAGCCTGGTGAGGAAGACGTTGGAGTTGAAGGAGGAGGAGCTGAAGGCTTTCTTCATCAAGGCGTCTGTAAGAGGTGACCAGAGGGAGGGGAGATGTGGACACAGGTCCCAGATCGAGGGGGCCACAGGGACCGGCAGAGGGCTCAGCCATCGTCTGGCCCTTCTGTGCCATGGCTTCACGTACTAAAGGCTTGGCATGCCCACTCACTGTGCCCACCGGGTACGTGTGACAGGCCTCACCAGCCAGTGTTCAGATAAATCACCAAGTTGAGGGGTCAGTGCAATGAGGGCTGAGGGGCTAGCCTGGGGCACCAGACTTTTACATAGGAATTATTAACCCGTTCCCACGAGTCCAATGCTATGGATTCCACTCCTCCCTTCCCAGGGCCTCAGCCCTCCCCAGTGCTCCACTGAGCCAGGACAGCAAGCAGGGGCCCTCCCCCCCACATTCACGCCCCTCCTCTCCTGTCTGCCCAGCCATGTGCCCTGCCCCTGAAGGCCCGGTCCCCATAAGGTGACAGTGCACTCAGGCCGGCAGGTAACCGAGAGGCAATGAGGTAGACACGGCTGGGCTGGCTCCAACATCACAAGTGGGCGTCCTCCCCACATGGCAAGTCCCACTGAGGGGACATATCACAGGCACACAGAGGTGGGGACAAAGACTCAGCTCTCCTCGCCTTGCCAAGGGGCTTGGGCACCTGAACTCCGGGCTGTGTCCACGGGGCCTTGGGATGTGACCCTCTGGTCTTTCCATTGGAGCATGCCCCTCAATTCTGGCATCTTCCTGATACCTTTGCCCTACCTCACAAGGCCTGGAAAGGCTTGTGAGCTGCCTGGACACGGCTGTGCAACCGGGGGGAAGCTCTGCAACTCCAGGCTGCGGTGTCTTCCTCCTCGGAGAACACAGCAGAGAACAGCCCGTCCGCCCCGTGCGGGACTGCGAGAACCTGGGAGTCCAGGCCTGGGGGCTGACGGTGACCAGCAAATGTCTCTCCCAGGGAGGGTGAGCCCCCAGGTCTCTCTCGCCACGTTACCTACTGCGTCCTGCACAGCAGTCCTCACCGCGGCCTCGTCCTTGAACACAGAAGACACCTTGAGGAAGGCACAGACCACTTTCTCTGGGTCAGACGTGTCAATCTGAGGGGATAAGACAGTGGTCCTTAGACATCCTCTGAGCCTGGACTCGAGCCCCCATCCAAAGATGACCTCCCAGTCAGACAGCAGGCTTCTCACAATGATCGACCCTGAGACCTAATGCAGCATTTGGCCCAGAACCACGTTCAGAAGCCAGAAAGGGGCAGGAAAGATGTCAACCTGGGACAGCAAAAAAGTGGGAATTGCGGCTAATGCCAGAGGACAGGATGTGTGCAGGCTGAACAAGACACAAATGTGCTCAGATCACTTTTAACCCCAGATACACCACCACCAACAATGGCCGACCGTGGGGATATCATATCCTGAGCTCGGCGCAGGCTGGAGAAGCCTTGGCCACACACAGGCATCTGGTGGGCCATCCTGGTCCCATTCTTACATTAACGTCCCCCATGTTGTTCCCCTTTTGGAGCAATCCCAGGAGCCCTCGGAGGGCCAGGCTGGGGAGGCCACGCACCTGCTGGGCTATAAGCACAGAGCTCTTGGGTCCCAGGCGCAGCAGCTTGTCCGCGGAGGGAAAGGCGAGGAAGGTGGAGACATCTGAGGGCAGCGGGGAGGACAGGACGGGTGCTGGCTCCTGAGGAACAGGCAGCATTGGGGGCTCCACTGAGTGCCAGCCCCAGGATGCCCCCCAGCTCGGCCCACACACCTGCCAGAGCCCCCAGGCCTCAGGTCTAGAACGCAATCTATCCCCCCTCTCTGAAGGGCCTAGGCGCTGACCTGGAGGGGCTGGGGCCAGTCACCTCCCTAGGACTCGGTCACACTGCCAGTGGAGCCCTCACCAGGATGCCACGAAAAACTCGAGGCACATGGGGCTCCAAGCACCCCCAGAGCCCAGAAAAAAACATTAAACAATGCCTAGCTGTTTGCTTAACTGCTTCAAAAAACTGGAAAAGCAGCCCAATGCAACATGAGGGGGTCCTCAGTGCGGCCCACAGTTCTCCGGGGGCTTTAAGTGGAAACCTATGAGGGAACACGAACGGGTGAATGAGGCATGTCACCAATGGACATGCCAGCCCCCGGTCAGCCGAGGCACCTGGCCCTGCCACTGTCCCCCAATTCAGAGAGGGCTCCCAAAGAGTGGGCAAAGCAATCCACATCAGAACCTCCTTATGCTCACTCGTTTTTAAAACATTTGTTCTTTTAATGACAGGTACACAGAACAATCTCACTGACTTCACATGCAAGCAAGATCCTACTGAAGATTATCCAAAAACGACTGGAACAACACATCAACAGAGAACTGCCAAAAGTCCAGGCTGGGTTTAGAAGGGGTCGTGGTACTAGAGATATTGTAGCTGATGTTAGATGGATCTTGGCTGAAAGCAGGGAATGTCTGTGTTTCACCGACTATGCAAAGGCATTTGACTGCGTGGATCATAACAAACTGTGGCTGACTCTGAGAAGAATGGGAATCCCAGAACACTTGATCATTCTAATGCAAAACCTATACTTAGACCAGGAAGCAGTCGTCAGAACAGAGCAAGGGAACACTGCATGGTTCAAAATTGGGAAGGGCGTACGCCAGGGATGCATCCTATCTCCATACCTTTTCAACCTATATGCAGAACAGAAATGTGGGGTCAAGATTGGTGGACGATTTATCAACAATCTGCGTTATGCAGATGACACAACCCTGCTTGCTGAAACTGAAGAAGACCTGAAGCATCTGCTGCAGAGGGTCAAGGAGTGCAGCCTACAATATGGATTGAGGCTCAATGTCAAGAAGACAAAGATTCTCACCACTGGACCAATTGGCAGCATCAGGATGGATGGTGAAGAGATTGAGATTGTACACAGCTTTAGTTTGCTTGGCTCCACAGTCAACAGTCTTGGCACCAGCAGCCAGGAAATTAAAAGGCGCATTGCCATGGGAGAGTCTGCTGTTAGGGACCTCTCCAAAGTACTGAAGAGCAATGGTGTCTCTCTGGAGACTAAGGTGCATCTGATACAGGCCATGGTCTTCACAATCACTTGTTATGCATCAGAGAGTTAGACAATGACCAAGGAGGATAGAAGGAGAATTGATGCCTTTGAGCTGTGGTGGTGGAGAAGAGTATTGAGAATACCATGGACTGCTAGGAAAACAAACAGATTTGTCCTGCAAAGGGTTAAACTGGGTGGCTCCTTGGAGGCAAGGATTCTGAGGCTCCGTCTAACATACTTTGGACATGTTGTGAGGAGAGACCGGTCCTTGGAGAAGGACATCATGCTTGGTAGGGTGAAGGGACAGCGCAGGAGGGGAAGGCCCTCTATGAGGTGGACTGATTCAGTGACTGGGATAATTGGGATGGGAGTGTCAGACACAGTGTGATTGGCACAGGACAGAGCGGAGTTTAGGGCTATTGTACATAGGGTCACTATGAGTCGCAAGCGACTCGACGGCACATAACAAACAACAACAACAACATACACATATACACACATATACATACATATATAACAGATACATTATAAGTATCACAGAATTATAAATAGTATTTTTCTGGTGGCCTGGCTGGTAAGGAGTTGTGCGTCCATCCTGAAGGCAGGCAGTTTGAATCCACTAGCTGCCCTGAGGGAAGGGAGATGGTCAGTCTCCTCCTATGGGATTTACAGCTTCTGAAAATCAGCGGGAGGGTCAGCTAGGGGTCAGTTCCCGCATATAATAGCATATATTTATACATAAACACAAATCTAGAAACAGGTAATGCTACAGACTTAGAAAGAAATCTGTATTGTTACAAGCGAATCCTAAATGCAGACGGGCTATTGGACGAGTGTCTTTGTTCATCATTCCACTATGTTCATGGAACAGATTCAGGGCCCCAGGACCCATGAGGAAGGTGGGGCAGCCCCCTGCGGTTTAAGAGGCCTTGACTTCTGCATCATGAGGCGTCACTATTACAACAGAGCTCATCCTGACAGGTGACACCCCAGGCCCAAGCAGACCGGGCTCCCAGCTTTTCCAGGCTGTAAATCTTCAGGGATGCTGACTGGTGCGTGGCCATGGTGGTGAAGTGCATTGTGTGTTGGGCTGCTAACTAAAAGGTAGATGGTTCGAGTCCATCAGCTGTCCTGGGGAGAGAGAGGGGGTGGTCTCCTGTAAAGATTCTACCACCTGGGCAACCGATGGAGGGTGGCCAGGTGGTGGCACCGACTTGCTAGCAAGGGGCCTGGTTTCTCACTCACAGTAATGTGCCACCACTGGGCGGCTCCACGCCATCTGACCGTGGAGGTGCCTCTGGGGACCAGGGCCCTGATCCCAGCTACCAAGGAACTCACCCCACCATCAGAGTCCAGAATCTTCCTGGAGGGGGTGGGCGACTCCGCTGCTTGTTCCTGCTGCTGTGGCTCCTCCTCCTCCTCCTCTTCTTCCTCCTCTTCCTCCTCCTCTTCCTCCTCGTCTTCTCCATCGTCCTCTTCGTCGTCATCATCATCACCTTCGTCATCACTGTAGAGAGGAACCAGCTGAAGCAGAGCTCCCTGCCCAGGGGCCCCGGCAGCTGAGAGGCTTGGCTCCAAGAGCCCCAGAACACAGCCTGGCAGGGCGCCCATGGTGAGAGGGTGCCCCCGGCTGGAGGAGGGAGAACACGGCCCACCGCTCAGAGAAGTGCTGGTGCAGACAGCGGGGGCAACCTCAGCCCAGCCCCAAGGGAGCCCCAAGGCCGCAGAGGAAAGAGAGAAGGGGAAGAAAGATCTGCCTTTCACAGCCAGAGCCCAGGGGCTGGTGGGAACCCCACTCAGGCAGGGACACCCCCATCATGATGAGGACAGGGAGGTGTGGGTAAGAAAAAGTCAGTGGGAGGCTATGCACCCCCAGGAGACCCCATTCCTGCAGCAGCTCAGGGGCCTGGCACTGGGGAGATAAAACTCTCTGAAAAGTGAACGCAGCGGATGTGGTGGTCACAGGGGTGACCTCTACGGCTCACCCCTACATGGATGACCCACACCCCAGGACCTTCGCCTTCCATCTCCAATCTCCTTCTTCACACTGGAGCGTTCCCACCAGCAAGATCACACGCTCCACAGTCGGCCTTATCTCAAACACCAGCCCGAGCCCCAGCCTGAAAATGCCCATCTCCCACCCCTGCCACGACCCTCCACTCTTCTGTCCCGGACCACAGCTTCTGATCAGCCACACGCCCACATTCAGAGGATTCATCCTCTCCTGCTGAGCCTCTGTCCAATCTGCGACACCTCAGTTCTATGGCCCCTTCCGGAGCTATTCCCAGTTCATCCCAATGGGGTCTTATCCTCACACCCCGACTGCCTGGCACAGAGGTCGACCAATGAGTAGGACTGAGAAGGATCAGGTGGCAGCATGGCCTGGCCTACCTGAGCGACGCCAGCACCTTGGCCATGCTGAAGCCCTCCAGAACCTCCTGAAGCTGCTCACAGCCTTCTTCCCCCAGGGCGTTGCCTGCACAAGGGGGAACGGGGGTCAGGACAGGTTCGGGCCACTGGAGGATGGGCAGCGCCCCCCACCAGCTCAAAGGCTGGGCTGGGGCCGTGACTACCGTTGAGGTCCAGCTTCTCCAGCTCGGCCTTGTCTGCCACGGCCTCGGCAACGGCCAGCGCAGCCTCTCTCTTGATCTCACAGAAGGACAGATTCAGCTCCTGCGGGTGAAGCAAAAGGTGAGGAGACGGCCAGGAGCGCAGGCCTGGGGACCATGTGCACCTCGAGTCTCAGCCCCCTGGCGAGCGCAGGGCGGACAGAGAGCATGGAGCACCAACACCCAGGACCCAAGAAGGTGCCAGGTACCAAACCCGATTCCAGACCCAGCTGACTCTGGAGACCCTTTCTTACGAGGTGCCTCTGGGTAGATGCAAACTGTCAACCTTCCATCGCTGAGTTAACTACATGTCCCATTCCCTCCCCTGCTGCGTACGGATGTTTGAATCAGGGTCACCCCATAGGACAGGGCGGCACTGTCCCCTAGGGCTGCTGTCACTGTCATGGAAGCAGCCTGCACAGCTCTTTCCCACGATGACTGCGTGCTTAACCGCTGCACCACCAGGACCTTTTGTGCCTCACTCCAGGACTCACAAGCACATTTGGATCCGCCCCACATCACGCCTCCTTCCCACGTCAAGAACACAGAAACTGCTGCTCAGAGCCAGGAGGCGGCCCACCTGCCTCTACAGACGAGACCCTCGCAGCCCCTGGTCCCGCGGCAGAGCCCGTGCGACGTGGACGCTACCTTGAGCCTGGGCAGGCCCCCACGCACGGCGTCGGCGATGGCCACTGCACCCTTGGAACGCACCAGGCAGTCCCCGAAGTTGATCACCTCCACCTGACGCAGGATCTTCAGGGTCTGGGGTGAGAACGCAGGGAGCTGGGTGAGGAGCGGGCCTCACCAGACCCGCAGCAAACCCCAGCAGCATCTCCTCCATACTTCACACTGTCCTTGGCATCTCCGCCCGGTTCAGTCGTTGACCGCCTGGCCAAAGCCACCACCCCTGCTACAGACAGACCCTTTTCCTGAGGTGTCCGAGACTCCCTCCCAGCTCCGTTACTTCCAGCAAACGTGTCCCATATCTGTCTCCCCTCTTCATCCCATCACCCCTCCAAAGCCCATCACTCCAGACCAGGCCCATACACGGGGCCACCAATGGGCCTTTCCACGGGCTACCGACCCCTCTCCTGGAAAGGCCCCTGTCCTCTGTCCGGAACATGCCCTGCCCCACCTCACCTCGGCCATGGCCACGGCCCCCTTCTCTGTGAAGGTGTTGTCATTGAGGTTGATGACCCGCAGCAGGGGGTTGATGGCGAAAGCCTGGGCCAGGGCTGTGACTCCAGGGTGGTTGATCCCGTTCTGTGGCATGTGGACCTCCTCCAGGGTCCCAATGATCTGGGAAGGACAGAGAGCCATGAGCAGGTGGGCAGACAATGATCCCTAGCCGGCTGGGCCTCCACAGTTCAGCTCTGGATGGAGCACAGGCCAGGCACCTTTGTCCTGGGGACCCAGCAGGGCACACACACAGGGCCTCCTAACAAGCACCATCGGCCAACCAAGGCCCAGTACAGGCCTGGGCTGTTCGTGTTCTCTGTGCCAGGGCTCCTTCGGGCAGACGAGGGAAACCCACCGACCCCACTACAGAAGAATGTTTCTAAATGTGAAATGCTATGGGGTTGCCACATGTGAGCATGGCTGCATCCAATCCTCTCCACAGCCTGTGGGAGCAAGACTGCACTGGGATGCTCTTCAGGGAAGAGTGGGCAGCAGACAGCTCTGACGTCACACGCCCAGCACCGCAGGGTGCCTTCGGCAAGCGCTGGCTGCAGTCAGGGCCCCACGCTCTGAGGATCCATGTGGCCCTCCCCATTCTGCAGCCTGCCCGGCCTTTCCTCCTGGGCCCTCCCTGCCTAGTCACACAGGTAAGAGGGTCTTCCGTAAGCCACCAACCACCAAGCTCTTTCAGCCTGGCCTTTATTCGCTTTTAAAACTGTTCGCTGTTGTTGAGGATACAAAGTAGAATATCACACCAATTCATCCATTTCTAGATGTACACCTTAATGACACATTCATCCTGTGACCAGGCAAGTCCCCCACCATTCTGACCCTCTTCAGAGCTCTATCTTCCCCATTAACAGAACCGAGGAAGCAATATTTCTGCACCCACATTTAAAGACCCTCTGAATTCCATTCATGGACTGCAGGGTCCACTCTCAAGTCAAGAGTGCTGAGGACACATCACAAAGGTTTGGCACAAGCAGCACAACCCTGTCTTCAGCGGCTTGAGGACATTCCCTCAAAGAGGGGAACTAGCCCCTCCGGCTCCTGCCACAGAGAAGCCAAACCTCTCTTCTCTTCTCCCTGCGGCCTAGTGGGCCCAGGACAAACCCCCCATGAGGTCTGCAGCAAAGGACAGATGCGGCAGGCGCTGCTCAGAGGGGCAGGACTGTGGGGGTCTGAGAAGAGGGAGATAACTCCTGGGGTTCCAGCCCCTGGGCAGCTGTGGGATGGGGAATGCAGGAGGTCAGGATACCCGCTGCTTTGCCCTCACCCACAAGCCAATGGCCTGCTTCAGGCCCCTTCTCGGTCTCAAAGGCAAGTCCCCGGTCCACCTCATCCCGGGCTCGATGACCTCTTATACAAACGCTCACGCGTGTATGCGCACCGGTGCTGGCCAGGCCCACCCAGTGCCTGGAGAGCCTGCCCTGCCGAGGCTCCTTCACCCTCCAGTGAGCTGCCCAACCCTCAGCCAGGGCAGGGATCAAGTAGCTGCAGACACAAGAGGTCCTAACTGCAAGCCCAAGGGGTCGGACTTACAAGCCTGTGGGGAGAAAGCGACTTCGGGTAGACAGATGTCCTGGTGACTTGGCTGAATGCCAAGTGCAAGCTGGGCTTCTTCCCACCCAGGACCACCAGCCCCTAGAGCTCCACAGCAGTCAGGGTCAGGGTGGAGGACAGGCCACTTACCCCAAAAGCATCCGCCAGAGCAGTGGCTCCATCGTTCTCCAGGCGGTTCCTGCCAGCCACGAAGACCTTCAGGGTCAGCGGCTTGCCGTGGGCGCTAGACTTGCGGTGACACTCGGTCAGAGCTGCTGCCAGGATCTGTGGGGGCAAGGCAGGGCCCAGCCTGTGGGCAGGAGGTCCTCGGCCTCATGGGGTGGCCATGACACTGGACAGCCCCCGTCACCCACCAGTGGTGAGTAAAGTACAATGGTCATTTGTGCCCTTACACAGATGGCTCTGACTCCCAGGAAGCTCTCTGGGCTCAGCTTCATCAAAAGTGACCAAGAGGACAGGTAACACCACCTTTGTCTGGGGGCTGCTGCAAAGCAGGGATGAGGTGCCATCAGGGACACTAATGTGCTTGTGTCTACAAGGATGAGGTCCCGCCTCTCCAGGTCCCTCCTCTAGGTGGCGCTGCACTGGTGCTCTGTGCTGGTGCAACCATGTCACCAAGGGACTCAAGGAGAGCTCGCTTTCCATCAGATGAGCCGAGCCCGGGGAGTGACAGTCCCTCACCTGGCCATGTCCTGGGAGAGGGCCAGCTGGGGTGGGCCCTGGTGCCCCTGCTTGCCCTGTCATGGGGCAGAGAGTGACAGATACCCCTCAGCAGGGAGCCCCACAGCCGTTGAGCCTAAGGAACCTCACACCTCATCCAGCTTCCTGAACCAAGGTGCAAATCCACATCCCACTGGCTGGACGGCACGACTTGTGGACCAAAGTCATGTCTACCTGTCTACAGCATCACCCACATTTCAAGGGACAGGTAGGTGCACAAAACACCCTGAAGGAGAGGACGTCTTGGAGCCATGTGGGCTCTGGGCCCCCAACTCTTTTTGTCCTTTGGCTGGGCAGGGTCAGGGCCATGGATGGGGGAAGGGGAGGCAGAGATCAATGGCGAGAGGTGAGGGATGGAGAGGGGACTCAGCACCCTTGACCATGGCCTGGAGGTGCCAGAATGGACCTGAGAGATGTAGGGCTGCAGCCAGAAGGACAGGCTCTGAGAAGGGACACTTTTCCACAATGACCACCCAGACCTGATGGCAGGAAAAGGGAGACATCCAGTGCAGGACTACGATTGTCCACTGTGCCTGGCCCCTAAGTGTGCACACACCCCAGCTTGCGCCTCCAGCACCGTTCTCAGGGCACAGCAGGACCACGAGGCCCCACAGTCTGTGTGCTGCCGAATCAGCAGATCAGAACATGGACGCAGCATGGCCTCTGTTGCCAAGGCAACGTAAGAACTGGGGATGTTGCTTAGCAACCACACCCTCAGCCTCCATCTCCTCTCCCACTAGCCACAGGCTGCTGCCTTTGAGGCTTCTGTCCTTTGAAGAGAAAAAATGACAGGCAGCCGCCCAGCTAGGGCCCACGAGAGATACCATGGTACATTCCTGAGAAGTTAAAGAGAGCTGAAGACTGAGAGGCAGTGATGAGGGGCACACAGCACCCACTCCCAGTGCCCACAATACAGCCGCTTAGGGTGGTGGGGACCGTGCTGAGGGTCGGGGGAAGGTGGTGGGGGCAGAGAGAGGGACAGTACCCACCTTGCCGCCACCGATGCCCATGCCACAGTTGTTGAGTCTGAGCTCCCGCAGGGTGAAACAGGTGGAGCTCTTGAGCAGGGCCTCGAAGCCACGCACACCATCAGGTCCGAAGGCATTGTCACTCAGGTCCAGCTCCACCAGCTGCGCCCCAGCTGTGATGAGGCCTTCCCCGAGAGAGATCTGGGTGCAGACGGGGGCCTCGTCAGCTCCACAGACACGTACTGGGCGCTGATTCTGCACTAGGCCCAGCAGTCTGCCCCCTCAAGTAGGAAGGGGCCCTTGCACACCAGGCCGAGGCGCACTTGAGCTCAGAACCGTGAAAACCAAGGTGAGTGAGAGGTCCACAACTCAGCCCTGAACCTAAGGAGAGGAGGCCGGGAGGCTGGGGGCTGACCCCTCTTCAGGAGCGTGGGGCAGGAATTCAGGCCAAAGTGGCTGCTGGCAGCCTGTGGGAGTGGGGGTGGGGGTATTGGCCCAGGGCAGGGGGGTCAGGGGATGATCCTCAGATGCACATGGAAAAGGGAAATGGGTAATTACAAAGACCACCAGGCTTCTGGGAGTGACGAGGAATATGGGCACCCCAAGAGAAATGGCAGTGAGCAGGTTGGGGAGGAGATACTGCCCCAGTGGACCCCACTGTCCCCTCACCACAGGACAAACACACAAGCCACACTCCGGCTCCCCACTGTGCATGTGGCCGCAGCCTGTCCCCACCCCAGCAGTCTCTGCGGTCACACCAGGCCCTGCCTTTCCTGTTGCTCCCTCTGAAGCAGATCCTCCTCATCGGGGAGTCAGAGAGAACTCCGCCATCAAACAAGGGAAGACGGGATGCTAACACATCAGACGGAGCAGACGGCAGGCTGACGCCCAGGTGAACGCGTCTGCACACGAGGCCCGGTGCAAGCGCCAGTCTCCCGTACCTGCTATCTGAACACGGTGTCGCCCTACCGAACTTGGGACCCACACTCCACAGAGTCCCGCCGCATGAGGCTCTCACTGACACCCACGGGGAAGCCCTTCTGATCCTCTACCCAGGGAGCCCACCACAGTCCCTGTCACATCAGAGGAAGGGGCTCTTCAGAAGGCAGGCTAAATCCTGTCCTGGAACCCACCCTAGAGCTGGCTGGATGGAGGAAGGCTGGAGAAGGCACCCCAGCACCCGAGTTTGAGGCTCACACAAATGCGGGTGACAGGCCTATGGCGACAAGCTAAAGGGGCTTCCCTGTGAGAACCCAGGAAAGCAGAAGGAAGCCAAGGCAGAAGGGAATAAAGGAAAGGAGTGGTGTGAGGAAGAGAGAGAGTGAGTGTGTGTGCGCGCACGTGCTGAGGGCAGCCTCAGCCAGCTGAGGAAGCAAGCACAGGGCACCACAGGGTGCCGGAAAGAGAAAGGCCAGCACTGGTCTACAGTGAGCGACAGCACACAGGTGGAGCGGGGGGGAGCCCAGGACCCCTGGTCTAGGCTGTATCTCCTCCTTGTCCTTACTTACACTGAGCTCCTCCTCGGCACATCCTCCCTCCTGCCCCCACCAGCCAGGCTAAGCACATCATGGGGCAGATGAACCAGGTGTGAGAACAGCCCAGGGCGGGGTGGCAGCCTCATCCACTCACCAGGGCCGGCGGGATCTCGGACCTCAGCCTCCCCGTGAACATGTCGCTCCAGTGGCATCGCTTTGGGAGAAGCAGAGAGGGGTTGTCAGGGATTCCTGGGGCTGACCTGCTCCCAGCAAGCGGTACAGTTTCCAGGTGGATGGGGAAATGCCCTGCACCACCCCCACTCCCACTCCCTGCGTGGGGTTCCCAGGCAAGAGACTGTAGGTGAGAGGCTGGCCCAAGGGGAGGCCCTGAGCCTAGGGGCTGAGCACTTAGCAGCAAAGCCCCAATCTGGGCAACTCCGGTTGTCTGGAGGGACAGAGATGTGTCCCAGTTTCAAGACAAGGCAGCAATCCAATGGGGTCCAAGGTGCCCGCCCCACGTGCCCACCTGTTTCCCACCAGGTATGGCTGCATTTCGAAGACTCTCTCCCGCTCAGTCCAGTTCTAGCACTGGGGCACCACTCTGCTCTAAACTTGCTACTCTGTCTTCTGAAGAGAGAGCAGGCAGATACAAGTACTATTGTTTCTTTCTTTCATTTCTAGTTACTTTGTATTTATGGAAAACAATAATCATCTTCCATTTACAGAGCTCCTGTTTACTTCTAAAGTCTTTAAAAGGAAACATTAAGAAATAATCTCCAGAAGCAATGGCTACATGCTGAACCCATGCTGCCAGAAACATGGAATCTCCGGGCACACAGGCCTACCCCACAAACTCTGCTTGCTCTGCTCACCGCTAAAACATCAACCCTGGCAGTGTAGCTTGGGCAAATCCAGCCTCCCCGGGCCAAACCTGAGAACTGATACACTCATATGCCTGAAAAGACTCCGGCCCTAAATTCAGCCTTCAATATGTACTTGTTGGTTTTGCACAAGGTGCTGTGTGTCCTATGAAGCTAACACAGAGCTCTGGCGGCCTACGTTGCAATACCAAAGGCATGTAGTTCAAATTCACCAGCTGCTCTGTGGCAGAAGGCTGGGCAATCTCCTCCCGTGAGATCTGCTGCCTCTGGAAACCCGCTGGACACCAGCTATAGTTGGTTCCAATTTGCTGACACACACAATCAGAAACGACGTAAAGCCTTCGGCCTCACCTGGGGGCTGGTGCGGGGTGTTCATAAGTTGCCCACTAGGCCTGGGGCCATGAATAAGGGACCCACAGCCAGAGCTTGGGTCCCTCACAACAGACACAGCACCGAACCCTACATGGTCCAAGCCCCACCCTGCTCTTGAGCGAGAGGGTCGGTTGGCATGTATCACGTCACGCTTGCGCTCCAGGCCCAGCCTGTGAGGTGCGCAGCCCCAGGTGAGACTCCGCTGAGCCCACCTCTCTACCTGTAAGAGCTGACCTGACCTGTGCACAAGCTGCAACAAGGAGACACATGTTGTCCTGGCCCTGAGCCAGGCTCAAGGGCAGCTTGCAGCCTGCACAGCCCCACATGAGAAAGTGGGGTGAGTGAGGCCTCAGGGAAAAGGCCCAGGGTTGACAGTGGTGCACACGCCCTCACACAGCCTCACGGCAACCTCTGAAGAAGGGGCCCAAACTCAGGAATGAGCTCAGGGCAAGGCCTTGTCATGCAAGTCAAGAGGTGGACCTGAGGCTCGAACCCTCCACACAAGGTGTCTCCTGTGTCCTGAAGCCTCCAGGCCCAGGCCCAGCTCCTCACACCTTCTTCCTGGGTCACTGGAGTTACTCTGTTACAAAGTCACAGCCAGCATGTTCTCTAGGAAAGAACAGGTTCAGGCTGCAGGGCAGAAACTGTCACTGTCTTCACTACGAACCTGACAGTGACCTGTTTAAGGAAACAAGCAGTAAGGGTTATTACTAAGCTAACTTGTAGTGTGTTTCTTTCTCTGTCCACAGGGAGGGCCTTCCCCTGGCAAAGCCAAGTCATTTCCACTTGTGACCCTCGTCCTGTCTTCCCTGCTATCAGAGGCACCATGGAAAGAGTGCCGGGCCCAGGTGTGATACAGCTGGGCCACTTCCCTTCACAGGTCCTCTGAGCCCCACGCTCTGGAAGAGATAAATGGAGACGGTGTCGAGCCCCAGGCTGTTCTTGGGGATTAAAATACACCCATGGAAGATGTCAACTCCGCCGTATTAAGACATGTTCACTCTGAGAAGCAAGCCTCTTGCCTCATGTCCCCTCAGAGTTCATCCGTTCATGTGCACCAGGCACCAGGCACAGTGACATTTTAACACATGCGGCCTCCCTGCTTGCCAAACTGCATCCTGAAGGACTGCTGGAAAGTGGAACCCACTTTGGGACAGGAGGGGACAGAGGACTCTGTGTCACCCTTTGCATTGGCTGCAGAGGATGCTACTGGGCTCCAAGCTTCCACTATGAGCAACTTTGCTCAGGAGAGTCCCAGAGCAAAGCAGACAGAATGTGCCAGAAGCACAGCTCCGTCTGAGCCCTTTTCAAATCTGTGTCCATCCTCCTCCCAGATGCCCTGCTGGGACAGGGGATGGAAGGTTCTCCTGGTTCACCTCTGCCCCTTCCCCCTTTATTTTCACAGGTGTTGCCCTAATAAGCCACTCAAGAGGCTGAACCTCCTCACAGCGTCAGCTTCCTGGAGGACCTGGGGGACAGGTTATGTGAGGTGAGCGGGCCTGGTCATGCTGTGGCTATGCTGAGACAGAGGGGACACTCAAAGTGACTGCCAACAGGGCAGGACCTGCTCACCTTCAACGCTGGTTTCTTTTCCAAGGCCTTGGCAATGACCTTGGCTGCTTCCACACCCACAGTGTTGCCCTCCAGGCGCAGAGCCTCTAAGCCATCAAAGTCTTCAATTTCTTTAATCACGTCTTTCGCTGCCCAAGACCAAAGAAGAGAGCATTAGAGTCCAGGAGTCACAGAAGAGTCCAGGAGTCACAGAAGAGCGAGGCAGAACAGTGAAGCGCTAGCCTTGGTTCCCGTGGGGTACTCAGAGAGGCAGGGGGCACAGCCACAGACTGTCCACTGGGAAGGAGTCAGGTTTAGATGAGACGCAGAAAATGCTTCCAAGCCCACTGAAGGAGGGAACTGGTTGCCAGGAGCAGTCAGCAAAGCTGGGTGAGTGAGGAGCCAGGTCGGCCAGGGACCTGCTTGCACACAACGGCTAGCTTGCATACAACAGCTTTCACTGTTAAATCGCACACATGCGCGCGCACGAACACACACACACACACACACTGTTTCCTTATAATGAAAAACCACCAACATGACCTTCAAGAGAAGGTAGGTTCATTCCCTGAAAGACAAGACACGGTCCCACCAACAGCATGACTAATGGGGACCCAGTGCTTATGTGACTGGGAAAATACTCACAGGACCATAATAAAGGAAAAATCAGGATATTCAACAGAGTTGGTCTGGTCATACTTTAAAAACATTAGACATAGATAAGGGTAGAATCATGCTCCCTATACCCCACCCCCACAAGAGAGCTGTGAGTGCCAACTCGGGTGTCTGCCCAGGAGAAGCCGTGGTGGTCAGCTTCGGTAAAGACTTAGAGCCTTGGAAACCTGGCAGGGCAGCTCGACTCTGGCCCACAGGGTTAAAGAGTTAGAATGGAAGCACACCCATGTTTATCCCAGCTTTGTTCACAATCGCAAAGAGTTAGAAACAGCTTAAGTGTCCATCAACAAATGAATGGATAGAACAGCTCTGGTATTTTCACAAAATGAATGGAATGCTACACTGCATTGAAAAACAAGGAACTCATGCAATATTATTCAAAATGGATGACCAGGGAAGACATTATGCTGAGTGAAATATCTCAGTTACATAAGGACAAATACTGCATAGTGCCACTGTTGTAAAACGGAACTGACATAGGAGTTGGGGCGGGGGAGACTGAGAAAGATGGGTTAAATTATGTATACTGCATTGAAACAGATGAGAGAGAGAACTGTTTAAAAGGTATTTATTATTAGGTATTATTGTCATGACATGAGTCCAGAACGAAGGCTGCATAGTAGAGTGAATGGACTTGGGGAGAGGGATTGTATAACAATGAAAAAATTTTTCTTTTACTTTTCAAAGAGAAGAATGAACTGGAGGGGAGGGGTGGGCAGGGAGAAAAGTGCAACAATGAATGAATGGAAATCCAAAGTCTCTGGAAACTTTTATTCAAATTAATAATAATAAAAATTTATGCTTAGAAGGGTAGAGGGAAAGCGCAGGAGAGGAAGACCTCAGATGAGATGGATTGATACAGTAACTAGGGCAATGGGGGTAGGTGGTCAGAGCCAGTGAGACTGGCTCAGGACAGGGCAGGCTTCAGAGCTACTGCACATAGGATTGCTATGAGTCACAGGTGAATTCACGGCACATGACAACAACAGGCTTTTGTGGCTGAACTGCCCCTCTATACTGCTGTATTATACCATCTGTGACAGTGTCACTTCCTCAGACACCCTCACCCCACCTCCCTAACCGGGTGAGGCTACAAGGGTCACTTTCTTGTTACATGGTGACTTATTAACATGCATTTTCCTCCGTGGGCCAGGAGCTAACCCAGTGAGGCGAGCACTCGGTCTGCAGCATGAGGTCTCACGCTGACGAGAAGTTCCCACATTCCCCACCACGGTCTGGGAGGCAGCTACTGCGGCTGCAGTACAAGTGTGCAAACTGACACACGGGGAGGTAGACATGGCGACTGGCAGCTCATCCCATTTCTACTTCAGACAAGTGCGAGCTGCCTCATTTTCTCAAGCGGGAAAACGCAGGTCTCAGAACACAGCTGCTCCATCCAGGAATTCTGGGAAAACAGCAGAGCCAGCCTCAGACTGGTTTTCCAGAACTGAACGTGTGTGCCCCCCACAACCCTTCCTTGCTTCTGTGACAACGGGACTCCTCATGCCAGGAGAGAAGCCCCCAGGCTCTCCGAGGGCACACTGAGTCCCGGGTCTCAACTGTACTCCTGCGAGTGCTGGAGGGATCTCTCCACACCGAGAGTGTCCCAGGCTCCAGCTTGGGACTGCTGTTCAGCCTCTGTGCAACCCTCATTTAAACCAGGACAGGAAAGCCAGCACCCCAAGGCAGGGCCTGCTGGGTGAGCACCCAGGTCCTTGAGCCTGTGCCCTCAACATTACCCTGCGGAGTCAGAGTACAGCCCGGCCCGGCCTGGAAGGCAAGGCCCTTATATGGGGAGAACTGGGGCAAGCAGAGTTCACAGGCGGGCCTGCCTCACCTCTAGACCAGCAATGTCTAATTTAAAGTCATGCTTCATTTAAAGACACACTGACTGGTGGAACAGGTTAGGGATGGCTCCAAACAGGAATGTCTGACCCCTGTGCCACTTCAGGGACTAACACTGGGTATTGTAACTGTCACAGAAAGGAGAAAAGTCCTTCTTTAGTGCTGAAGTGACTAGAGGGAAAGGGACAGGGGCAGAGAGAGGGACAAGAAGAGGGAGGGGGAGATGGAGAGGAAGAGGTACATTGGAACCTATAGATGCACATCTCTGCCTCCTTCACTCCCAGTGAGACCAGGCTGCTCAGCAGAGCATTCCGGGGCCTCTTTCCTTCTAGCTGGGGCTCCCTGAGGGATCCTGCAACCAGATGCTCCCAGCACTTGGTCTGAAGTGCCCCTTCAGCCTTCAAGGCAGCTTCACACACCACCTCCCACAGGGAGACCCCCGGCCCAGCCCTGCCTCATGCCCAGAGCTGGTCCTGCCTCTCACTGCGTTTACCAGTCACGGTCACGTGAGCACAGAGTTCCTACTCCAGGTTCTGAGCTCCTCAGAGGCTGTCACTGGGTGCCCCTCAGGACCTACAAGAGGCGGGACCGTGAGGACTCACACTGCTGAAGTGATGAGGTTACCAGCCTGGACTTCAGAGCCAGACAAGCTTGGGTTCTAATCCCAGCCCCCCCAATTAGAGGTGGGTGCACGGACAAGTGATCTCACTGAGTCTCAGTTTCCCAATCTGCACAACAGAAATGAACCACCTTGGAAGCTTCTAAAAGGATAAATGGAGATGCTCTCCACAGGCATCCAACTCCCTGCCTGACACATGCGCACACGGCGTGGGGTGGGGGTTTCTTTTGAGGGAAAACAACAGAACTCCCGCTGCACAGAAACGAGGGCTCCACTGGACCTGAGAAGGGCCTGGCTTTGCCATTCACCAGCAGTGTGACCCTCGGCAAGCTGCTCAGGTCCCCCGGCCGCTCTTTCCTCGTTTACAGCACCTGCTTCCTCAGGGATGCTGTGAGGGCTCGGGAAGCACCCAGACATCGTCAGGTCACAGACAGAGGTCAGGAATATGCATCACCATGCACCCAGCAACCCAAGGCGTCCCCTTAGGGGAGGACAGCCAGATCACCATGCATGGTGACCCCTGGGCATGCCCAAGCCCATTCCCCTGGCCCATCCAGGCCTCTGGGGTGCCCAACAACTGACATGGGCACCTTCACTTTCGAACACTCAGTAACCCTGGGTGGGTCAGCCAGCCATGCTTTGGGCAGAGATAGAAAAACATGGTCTGCGTTCTGGTTCCCAAGTCTCTGTGTATCTGGACCCTGCACAATGACAGGGGCATCCACAGCCCTGTCCCCCTCCCCAGAAACCTGGGACTGTGGCTTCTATGCAAGGCCATGAGTGCCTCGGTTCTGGGGAGGGTGACAGAGCCACCTGACCTGAGATGGCCACTAGCTGTGTCCTCTCGCCAGCACTTCCTAGTCACAGGCACACAGGCAGGGCAGCACTCGGGCCTACACACATCGTGGACTCTGTGAGGACGGGCCCCAGCACACACCTCAAAGAGCCACTGAGAAGCGACCAGGATCACGGAGCTAACGGTCAACACTGGTGGGCACCAAGGGCGCTGTCCTGGAGGGAGCGGGCAGCGGCTCAGATACTCACCATCCTCCGCAGTGTTGAGTTTGAGGCTCTTGCCCTTGAAACTCAGCTGTCCCTCGGCCACCTGGGTCTTGGCCAGTGTCTCTGCCAGCTTGGCAATGTCTTCAGAGGCCATGCTGGCCACGCTGGAGAGCTCTCCCTGGGATCTGCAGACTGAGGGGCAGAACAGCAATGAGAGAGGGAGAAAGGAGGCCCCCTCGGCCTCCGGCTTAGAAGGACAGGACATCAGTCACCTTAGGGACCCCCAGCCCCTGCTACAGAGACCCTGAGAGCTACACCTGCTGAGGAGAAAAGAAAACAGCATGAGGGAAGCCACCGCTTGAGAAAAGCAGAGAAGGTAGCACAGAAGTCCAAACCTCACATCCCAGCCCCTGAAGAATTCCCCCTCACTTCAAATCCCCCTGTCCAGCTGGGGCCACCAGGTCTGTCCCTGCCCTGTGTCCCCAGCACACACCTTCCTGGTCATCTTGGCTGCTCTCTGTTTGAGAATCCCACTCCCCAAACAAGATAGAGATGGCTATGCCATCCACGTCATCCATCCTGAGGAATGTCCCACCGCCCTCACTGGCATGGCTGTGGGGGCGGGTGCCGGGCAGCCACTGAGAGCCTGATCTTAACCCTGCCCAGGTGATGGGGCAGCCCAGGGTGGGCAGGCCTCAGGGCTTCCTAGGAGACCAGGGCTCTCTACATCACAGTCATCATCACAATAGGCCAGGGACAGAGTTAAAGGAAAAAGGAACTTCCCACCAAGAGCGCAGCCAACTGGCCAGGGCTACAAGACGATCACAGATAAGATGGCAGATGATCGGGGACCAAGGAAGAGAGCTGCATGGAGACAGAACTAGGCATCCACAGAGAGACTCCTCCCAATTCCTCCCCTACTCATCCTCCTGACACCACGGCCCCCATCTGCCTACTCCTTGGGGTTTACTCTGGGCCTCCTCCCCCAGTCTGAAGTCCTGTCACCCGGTGTGTTTATGTCTATTTGTCTTATTTCCTGGATATATAAGTATCCACTCATTCATTCAACATCTACGGATCACTATTCTGCGCTCATGCTTGGAAAAATGACTGAAAGGGGGGAAGACCCTCATCGAAATGGACTGACACAATGACTGCAGTGGGTCCAAGTCTGCCAGAGATGATGAGGATGGCTCAGCACAGGGCACAGTTCAGATCTGTTGTTCACGGGTTTGTGATGACTCACACTTGACTCAACAGTACCTAACAACAACTTCATGCTGGGGGAGCTCTGGGGGCAAAGTCCATGGCTACTGCACTGCCAATCGTGTCTCTGGTGGTTCGAATCCACTGGCTATTTCACAGGAGAAAGACGGCTGTCTCCCCCCTTTACCTCAGACACCACAGGAGGGCCACCAGGACTTGCATTATGCTTGACAGCAGTGAGTCCGAGTTTTTCACTCTGTTGAAAGGGGCTCTGATGGCACAGTAGTTAAGCATTCAGCTGCTGACCCAGAGGTCAGCAGTTCAAACCCACAAGCTTTCTCTGAGGGAGAATGATGTAGCAATTTGCTTTGGAAACCCTATGAGGAAGTGCTACTCTGTCTTATGGGCAAGTGTTGTCTTTTGTTGTTACTGTATTTTCACTTTGTGTTGGGACTTGTTCCAGGAATGAAAATCATGGCAGTGGAAAAAGTGACAAAAAGCCTGTCCTTGAGAAACACTCTAAAATAAGGGATTTCATATATTTCTGATAAGAAGGAAAAGTGGGTGAGGAGGTTTTCACTTGTTCAAGCACAATGGTCAAGGGGAAGATTGCCTGGAAAGTGACAGTTAAGACCACAAGCTACTAGAGATTGACATTTAAAAGCATTTGCGGGGAAGAGCACTTGTACACAGGGAACAGCAAACACAAAGGCTCTCTGGGGAGAGAGGAGAGGTGGAGGAATTGCATGGAGGTGGCTGGGGCTGCACAGCGAGGGAAAAGATTAAGAAGCCAAGAGCAGGAGGTACAATTCAAGGGGACTGGCTCTTAATGCAAGTGACAGAACCATCTCGTAGATTTCTAGCAGGTAGAAAGGGGTGGGTGTTCAAAAACCGGGCACCACAGGATCCAGGCGTTAGAAGGTGCTCAAAAGAACGAATGCATGAAATGGACAAGTGGCATTTTCCACCACTACATCTGGCAGGTCTGAGATGGGGCGATTTGTGCTGGGAAGTCCAATGGTGTGTCCTTCGTGTGGAAGAACTGGGGTATAGGCCTTGTCAGCCAGAAGGGGGAAGGAGGCCCACTCTTAATCCAGACAATATTTACCATCTAAATGTGTACTTGATACGTATACATGGTAGTGTATACGTATCTCTGTGCTTTACACAGAGAGGTGAAGGGATTCGTTCAAGGTCGGCAAGGGGTCAGCAGCAGTGCCAAGACCGACAGTAAACACGGGCACCACGGCCTCGCTTCCCGGCAGGAGCGCAGGGACCTAGTCAGGTGCACCGGGCACTGGCATCGCTCACGCAAGAGCGCCGGGGTGACTCACACCGATCCCCGGGGACTGCCTGGCCCTCGCGGGCCGTGGGCCTCGGAGGAGGCGACCGCGGGGAGGGAGGCGCGAAGGCGATGACAGGCGGGCAGCGCGGGAGCCCATCAGGAGCCCTGATGGAGGCGCACCGCCTCCAGGGGCCGCCGACGCCGCTGCTCGCAGCTGCAGGCTCAGTTTCCCTCTTTGTGAAAGCAGCCCGGGCTCCCGCCCCGCCCTACCCCACCTCCGCCCGGTTGCAGCGCCGCCTTGTCGCCCCCTCTCACCCCCGCCGGGTGACGGAGAAAGGGAAGGGACCCCGATCCTACTGTAAACAGGCGGCGCCGCCGCGTGGGACGATCTGAGCGCGCGCGTCGGCCCGGCCGGGCAGGGACCGATTAGGGGTCCGGGTCGGGACAGTTTTGGGTCGCCGCCTCTGGGTCCAGCGTCTCGAAGCCCAGTCGGCCCGTCCGTCCTCGCTCCCAGAGCGTCTCGCCACTCGCGAGTCTCCAACACCACCTGCTCCCCACACGGTGGAGGATGATGGCGGAGGAGGAGGATTTTTGAAAGCCGGCAGTTTCTTTCCTTCGATTTGATTTGTCCGTGGCCCCGGCCGGCCTCGCTTTCCCCCGCGCGTGGGGCATATCGGGTATGGTAGTCCAGTCACGCTGCACAGGCGCGGCAGGAGCGCGCACCAGGAACTACCAGTCCCATGATCCACCGCGGTCTTCCGTGCCCAGCCGCTCTTCTCCGTCCTTCCATTTAGGCCACCGGCTCCTTCTCGGGGAGACCACAGGGCGGCGCTGAACCGGCCGCGCCCCTAGACTACAATTCCCCTAATGCTTTGCGATTGCCTTTCTCTAAAGGTTCGCAAGGCTGGGGCTATCTGCACCCTGTTGCATATTTCAGTAACAAATAAGCTTCCATTTCCTGAAAGACACAATTTGTCAGGTCTTTGTCCCGTACAAAAGATTATTCGAAGGCCGTCACATAATAGCGACAAATCATCTATCTGGTATTTAAAAAGCAGAAATAACATCTCTATAGGAAAAAGATCTTTTTGTTTGTTTAAATAGCACAGAAATCGCACACACACTTTAACCAAGTGGTCTATGTTAACATCTAGCTGCGACTCTGATGTGAGCCATAAAGGACACAGCTTCACTCTCACCATTTAATCACGAGCAACACCAGACAAACTAAAACTGAGCAACAGTTACAGAGTAACTGCGCTGTATGCTCCCTTTTATGGAGTGCTGCTGGTTTAGTGTTAAGGAATTGCTCTACCACCTCAAATGCTCTAGGTTCGAATCCACCACCAGCTGCTCCATGGGCAAAACGATGGGCAATAAGTGGTTTGGGGTTGGATCCTGAAAAGGGGTAAAGACAGTATTATAAAAGACAACATCAGCAAAATTTACTGTATACTAACGAATAGTATGGGACCAAAGTTAAATTTTCTGATTTTGTTTATTGTACTGGTTATACAAAAGACTACCGTTGTTCTTGGTAAATATATGCTGAAATAATAAACTCTAAAATGGTTTTTAAAAAGATACCTATAAGGGAGCTCTGGTGGTCTAGTGGCAAGACGCTGCACTGCAATCCCAGAGGTATGTGGTTCAAATCCACCAGATGCTCGCTGGAGAAGGAGGGGGCAATCTCCTCCTGTACCAGTCAGATCTGATTTGACGGTACACGTAAAAATAATACAATAAAAAATTTTTTTTGAAAAAAGATACCTATAATATGTTGTTGTTGCTGTTATGTGGCATCAAATCACTTGCGACCCTATGTACAAGAGCCCTAAACGCCATTCTATCCTGTGCCAACCTCGCCATCTCAAACACGCTTATTCCCACCACTCCACTCACAGAATTCAATCTCATCGAGGGTTTTCCCCTCCTGCGCCGTCCCTCCACTCTCCCAAACATGATGTCCCTCTCCAAGGACCAGTCCCTCCTTGCAACTTGCCCAAATTATGTCAGATGAAGCTTCAGAATCCTTGACTCCAAGGAGCATTCTGGCTTTACCCTCTCTAGGACAAACCTGTTTGTTCTCCTAGCAGTCCATGGTATGTGTATAAATATAAAAACAAACCCATTGAATTCATGGCAGGGTTTTTTTGTCCATCATTTTTCCAAGGCTACACTTGGAAGGGAGGAGACTGCCTATCTATCCCTAATGGAGTGGAGTAGTTGGGTGATTCCAGCAGCAGTACATTATATCATCAGAGATCCTTAAGAGATGAATATAGTAAGATAGTTACAGATCTCTCCCTTCTTTGAGCTTGGCAATTTGCTACAATGTCACATAGAACTTTCAAACCACACTTACAACTAAGTAATTTATTAAGGAAGAAAATAAGTTTAGCTGGGGACTATGTAAGGAGAGAAAGATGACAAATGTAGCAAAATATTAACAAGTGAATCTGTTCATATTAAAAATCTGTACAAGGTCTATGGAAGCACTTCAAATATCTTTGCAACTTTTCTGAACATTTTCAATAAAATCAAATTTCAAATTTCTTAAAATGGATTTTAATTTTTACCTAGATAGCATGTGTCTCCTGTAAGCAATTCAACCAACATGGCACAAAATAAAGTAGACAAGATCTGAAGCTACTGCACCAGAAATAATGCATTGCTGCAGCCTCCTTTCCAGTGTTGCC